GCTGTCACCCGATTGTTCCCTCGATTTTGGGGGATAAATATCATTGCTGAGGCCTCATGTCTCCTCTATCTCCTTTTCCCTAAAGCTTTTCCCCCTTTATGTTCTCTCTCTGCCCAGAACCCAACGTATCTCTGACAAAAGCATGCATTATTTAGAGCCTGTCGCCTCTTGAAGTTCTTTAATTACAGAATTAAACCAAAGTAATGACAGTTTAATTTGTTCTTTCATTAATTGGGAGCGCTCTGGGCTGATGTGAAATGAGCGCATTTGGAAGGCATGAGGAATATGTGCTGAGTGATTGGAGCGTGAGTAATAATAATCGCTGTCGTTTAGTGCTGGGCGCTGGCTAGGTGCTCCTCATGCACATTCTCCATTATGCTCGCCGCAACCTCGAGGAGGAGATACCACCTTCTCTGTTTTGTGGCTTAGGATCTTGAGGCTCAGAGAGGTGAACCAACAGCCACCTGTCAGCCGGAGGGAGAGCCAGGCCTGGACACCCACAGCCCAGCCCCAGAACCCCTGTCCTGTTCATAGCCCCACTTGGTCTTGAGACCACCAGCTGTGGCCTCAGGATTCTGCAAGGGGTAGCCCACAGGAAGATGGGCACATCTGGCCGGGGCATGCCTGAGAAGCACTTAGTTGTGTCTGACTGAATTTGAGGCTGAGAAGAAATGTGTGAACCCATGAAAATGGAAGGAAAGTGGGGGTCAGAGGGAGCTGAAGCTTCACTGCTGCTGATGGAAATTTCGCTGCTCCCTCCTGGGAGCCCGCAGCTGCTGAGGGACATGCCTGTGAGCACATCCCGTGCCTCTTAGTTGTGAGTCGAGCATATAGTGGAGGGTAGAACTCAGGTGTCTGGGACCTGTCAGGCTTGCTGGTCTGCCCTTACCCTAGCTAAGGTCCATTCCAGAGCTGCTACCTTTCCATGGACATGTCTGTGGTCCAGGTGACTTCCTTCTTGCACTGCCCCCAGGCCCCACCATACCTGGCAGATGAAATGCCTCTGATGCCCTGCCGAGGTCTGCAGGAGTCTTGGGCTGGGCCTTTGCTTTCAGGCCTCTGGGACTACACAGAGGGTGCATGGTTGGTGCATTCACGGTGCTAGTGGCTCATCTGGAGGGCTGTCTAGAAGGAGGCAGTGAGGCAGCTCACCTTCCTCCTCATGTCCCTAGGACCTTGAGCCCTGTGTGTACTGACACTATGCTGTCTTGGCAGCAGGCAGTGAAGGACAGGAGGAGAACCAAAGTGAATAGTGCCTTCTGTGGCACCTTCCCTTTGGCACTTGAATTCCCTTTCAGCTTCCCCACCACTCTGGAAAGTGGGAGGATTAGCCCCATTTTCTAGCTGTAGAAATGGAGGCTCAGAGACAATAATCATTTAACCAGGCCACGTGGATTGAAGGGGCAGAACAGAGTTAGGATTCGGGGCTGTCTGACCCTGAAGTATCCCGTGCAATTGGGCCTCAGTGTTCTTGCTGTCACCCCATGGCCCCGCCAGGCACCCTCTCACTTGCTCTGTTCACGTCTCCCGGCAACCTTAGAGTTTCACCCTGTGGGTTCTCAGGCAAAACTTTAGAATTTATTATTAATGCATTTCTCTGCAGCAAAGTCTGGATGAATTTAGAATTAGAGGACTCGGTTACACTTTATTACTGTTTGTCATTAAACATCATGCAAATAAGCCATGGAATAAAGCAACTTGTGTTGTTTTGGACAGCAGATTTACATGTTTACTGGAAGAAAAATGCTGCTCAGCTCCTTCAAGGTGGCAACACAGTTTGGCCTCAGAGCCTTAGCTTTGTTGGCCCTTTTCTATCATTTACACCACAACTTCCAAAAAATATTTTAAACTAGTTTATCATAAAAACTCACTCACAACAAGGGTTTCAAAACATCCTTTTGTGAAGATGAGAAGACTGAGAAGCTGCATAGCCTGTGGGGTGGGAGTGGAGAAGGAAAGACCCATTGCAACCATGTGACCCACGGGCCTGAGAGATGAACCTAAGCCTCCTCGTTGCCAGAGCTGAGAGGCAGACAGGATGGCTTCTAGGTTTCTCATCTTTGGATTTTAGTAGGAAGTTTCTAAGCCTTCCTTGTAGGAGGAGGTGGGCACAGAACCTGTTTGGAAGCCTCTGGGAGAGTAAGGATAGAAAGAACTTTGGCTCCACCCTGACGTGAGCATCGGTGTCCTGTCAGAGCCCATTTCCACCACAGTTGGAAGAAGCTATTGGGGTTAGAACCCTGCGATTCCAACCTGCACTGCCCCTCCAAGAAGACACAGGGCAAGGCCCGGCGATACCAATGTTGAGGTAAAGAATCTGAGGCCAGCCATCCTGGTGGATGAAAAGAAGGTTCAACCCAGGATGACCCCAAGCCTTCGGGTTAACTGCTGAGTTTGGTGTTTGCCCCAGATATTGTGCCCCCTGACCATTTCAGCTCTGTGCCCCACCTTCCTCCTGGCATGTACCATGAAACTCAGCTGGAGTACAGAGGAGAAGCCTTCTGGCTTTGTGAGCCCCTGCCCCTGGGATCCTGAGGTGGTGGTCACGAGTGACACAGCCATGACAAGTAGCATTGTTGATATTGATGTTCTGAATTAGTAAAAATGGGCTGGTTGTGATGGCTCATGCCTGTAATCCCAGCACTCTGGGCGGCCGAGGCAGGCAGATCACTTGAGGTCAGGAGTTCGAGACCATCCTGGCCCACTTGGTGAAGCCCCTTCTCTACTAAAAATACAAAAATTAGCCCGGTGTGGTAGTGGGTGCCTGTAATCACCCGCTACTCAGGAGGCTGAGGCAGGAGAGTTGCTTGAACCCAGGAGGCAGAGGTTGAAGTGAGCTGAGATCCAGCCTGGGTGACATAGTGAGAAGCACTTTGGAGGCCAAGGCAGGCGGATCACCTGAGGTCAGGATTTCAAGACCAGCCTGACTAACATGGTGAAACCCCGTCTTAAAAAAAAAAAAAAAAGTAAAAATGTGTAAATCATAACACATGGTAAGCAATACAATACCAATCACAATTCAGTTCAAAAACAGCAGCTTGAAATTAATTAGTCGTTGTGCTGTTTCTTAAAAATATTGGAAGCCACACACTAGATCTGAAAGCTTTTTGCTTTTTTTTTTTGAGACGGAGTTTCGCTCTTGTTACCCAGGCTGGAGTGCAATGGTGCGATCTCGGCTCACCGCAACCTCCGCCTCCTGGGTTCAGGCAATTCTCCTGCCTCAGCCTCCTGAGTAGCTGGGATTACAGGCACACACCACCATGCCCAGCTAATTTTTTGTATTTTTAGTAGAGATGGGGTTTCACCTTGTTGACCAGGATGGTCTCGATCTCTTGACCTCATGATCCACCCGCCTCGGCCTCCCAAAGTGCTGGGATTACAGGCTTGAGCCACCGCGCCCGGCCGATCTGAAAGCTTTTGAGTGAGAATGAGGAGGAGTGACAGGCAGATCAGCCAACAGATAGAGGGGCTTCTGTAATCTGGGCAGGTGTCGCTGGTCACTCCTGGCTCTGTGGGCATGATTATGCCCTGACCCTGTGAGTTCTTGCTGCTGTCAGCACCATACAGATGCAGGGATTCCTGGCTGTTAGTCACCCTCACGGCCAAGCAGCTTCTGTAAATTATAGGCTGTGGCCACAGAAATCATTGACTAAGGGCTATAGAGCATGATTATTATCCCATCACATGATTCTTCTTAAGCCTTTAGAATCCCTTGTTAAACTATAGGTAAAATAATTTCATGCTCATTGAAGTAATATAATTATTCAGACTAATTCGATGCTATTAGAAAATTTTGGGGCGCCATTTATAATATCACCTAATGGATTCTAAGTACAGTTTGTTAGGGAACCTTGCATATTCAACCCGAAAGAACCCCAGGCTCGCTCATGAGCTTGGATGCTGAGCAGTGCCGAGTGAACTAGAGACTACCAGAAGCTGTTCCGTTGTCCTTAGGTGGCTCTTGTTGAAGTGATTAGACTTGGGGATTGTTTCTCAGAAATGGACTGGAGACCCATAAATCTACTCTGATTTTATTTTTGGACAGCAACCTGGAGCCCACAAAGACAATTTCCGGCGAGTTAGGCGGCAGTGCTGGGCAGCAGTGGGGCACATGTGCTGAGGCGCGGGTGTGCCGGCCTCACAGTGGAGGAGGGGCTAGCTCTTCGCTTAGTGTCTGCAGCTCTTTTCCGGTGTCTGGCTTCAACAGACTGGGGAGCCTGAGACCACATTTGCTTGCCTTTCGGGAGGGATGTTGGGGTAATCTGGGCCAAGGGGCTCAGCCAGCCGCCACCCAGACTTGAGTGCTCTGTTTGGTGGCACCAGACATGGTGAGGTGGGTGGTATTCAGCAGGGTGGGGGAGGCAGCAAAAGCCAGGACTGCAGAATGACACTTCTGTGGCCTAATGATTTTCAAAAACCATTTGTGAGATTGAGGTAATGTATTTCCCAGACTTAAGCAATTTACTCCTTCCTACCGTGCTCAGTCAGGCTGTTAAATCGACTTGCTGTGTGGATAGAGCTATTGGCACCAGGGAAAAATGGTCAAGTTCAAGGCCCCTGCCGAATCTGTTTCTTTGGGAATTGATGAGTAACTGCACTTTTTAAAAAATGGGCTGGGTGCAGTGGCTCACACCTGTAATCCCAGCACTTTGGGAGGCAGAGGCAGGAGAATCACCTGAGGTCAGGAGTTCGAGACCATCCTGATCAACATGGAGAAACCCCGTCTCTACTGAAAATACAAAAAATTAGCTGGTAATGGTGGCACATGCCTGTAATCCCAGCTATTCGGGAGGCTGAGGCAGGAGAATCACTTGAACCCAGGAGATGGATGTTGCAGTGAGCTGAGATCGCACCATTGCACTCCAGCCTGGGCAACTCTGTCTCAAAAAAAGAAAGAGAAGATTTTAGGAACATTGGAAAATGTGAAGGGAAGAAAGCAGGATGCCAGATTGTACATTCCACAGGATCTCAGAAGAAACAAAGTCTGCATAGAAAGATACTGTGGAAACTGTCGGCAGGTTGCAGGAGTTACCTGTGCTCGAGTGCAAGGATTAGATCTAGTGTCACCTCTGTTCCTTTTCAGTATCTTACCTGTTGCCCAGGTGGTGACACTGGCCCTCAGGTGAGAAGCACCTGGCCATGAGTCCTGGGCCTCTGACCTGCTTGTCGTGTAACCATGGGCAACTTCCTTTCTACAAGGAACCCCAGTCTCTTCATCTGTATAGTGGTCCAATGTGGTCCAATTACACGACCTCAGAGGAATGAGGGGCACTGCCAGGACTCCATCACCTGTGTAAACACCTGGCAGTGTGGGCATGTGGCAGTCTAGATAAACCATAGCCTTGTGGTGGTTATGAAGGTTATTATAAAAATGCATGCATTTCTTTCACAATCAGAAAAACATTACGCATGAAAGAACAGGGCAATGACTGGAGGTGGAAGAACAAGACAGCCTACCCAGCTGCATGGTCCCACTGACCACCCTGCGTGACCACCGTGGCCACTCTTTACTCATCTTCCAGAAAAGGGAGAGGTCAGATGGCAGCCAGACCCTTACCAGATGGTGTATCCGGCCCTCCCAGAGGGGAGGCATGGAGGGCTACGGGAACATCCATTAGACCTTAACTTGGCCTGTGGGAGTCAGGAGGGCTTCCTGGAGAGAGGATTGTCTCATGGGAGACAGGAGAGAAGAGTAGGAGCCAACCAGGTGGAGAGGGAGGCGTGTACTTCCAACAGAGAGAGGGCATATGTAAGGCTGGAGATTCAAGGAGCAGAGCGAGTTTGGGAAACACAGCTAGAGAGTGGCGTGCAAGGAAGATCATGATGGGAGATGAGGCTGGGCAGGTGACTGGGGCCTCCAGAGTCAGCCACTGACTTTCCCACTGTAGGCGTTTACAGCTCTCTTGAGCCCCTGGGATGTGCTTGGCAAGATAAGGCCTTACGGCTAGAAGGCTCAGAGAGTGCCCCTTAACTGGGCTTCTGGATGGAATTTTTGGAGCAAAGGGCTAGTACTTATTTTTACGCAAATTGAGAAGTCTTGATGAAAAGGAGCACTTACATCCCAACCCCATCAGGGAGGGCCAGGGAGAACCGTGGCTTCAGTAATGGTGTGGGCCTGTTGGAGCCTGTCACATGGTTACATATGACAGACAGGACACCCTACCTCCACCCAGACTGGGCCTTCAGAAGGAATTGAGTTGGAGGCAATTAGAACTAAATCAGATGATGCTCCAAGGATCCCCCACTCTAACTGCCGAGAGCATCCCTGACTTCCTGCACGTGGATGAAGCCGAGTGATTTTAAAGCAGCTCCTTGTCCAGGCTTAGGTGAAAGTCTGCCCTCACTTGTAGAGGTGGTGCCATGATGCGGTCGTAGGAATTAGGCGTCCCAGGTTCTGGTTCTCCCTGCCTCTGCTGCAGTGTGATCAGAAGGGGGCTCTCTCCTGCTGTTCCACCATGTGCCATGACACTCCACCTCCTCTGCTCCCCTTCTGCCTCACTCCCCTCTAATCCACCCGCAAGTCCCAGTGATTCTTCTCCAAAGTGGGCGTTCAGTGCGTTCACAGTCCTGTGGCCCAGGCCTGCTCTCTCCCCTCTGCACACCCTCTTCACTGGTCTCCTTGCATTATTCTGGCCTCTCTTAGAGCAGCCCGTGTGCTCTTTAAAAACAAAAGTCTGCTTATCACTTTGCTCCAATGCTTAAAAACCCATCCATTTTACACGGAGAGAAAAATTCCGAACTTTTTGCAAATAGCTGCCGAGTCCTGCGTGATCTGCATTTTGCCCACTCATGTTGCTATCTTCCTTCACACAGGGCTCAAGCCACACTGGCTGCCAGTCCCTCAGCCTGTGTGGCTATCACCTTTACAGTCTTGCTCAGGCCGTCCTCACCTCACCCCTTCCTCTGGAGAAGCCCGCTGACCTCTGCAGTGGAAATCAAAGTGAGTCTGTTCCACCTGCTATTGTCATCTGGAGCTAGTTCTGTTCTTCACAGCACTGATCTGAGTTAGAAGAGCGGTTTGTGTGTTGCTTAATATCTTTTTCTTCCACTAGACTCTCATGAGCTATTTTGTTCTCTAGCAGTTCCAGCAGTGAGTAGATTTCTTGGCAGGTAGCGGACGTGGTATAAATATCTGTTGAATAAACCCAGTGAGTGAATGAGAGTCACCCCATCACTCTTAAGACTTTCTTTGCCCATCTGTAAAATGGAGATGACAGTTTCCCTGGCAATCTAATGGGTTTATATGGGGGCGATACTCAAAAATAAAGGTATAACATGATTACTACTCATCCTAACCACGCCACAACCTCTTCTTCCCCCAGTTATTGAGAGAGTGAGTACGTCTTAGGATAAGGGAGTAGGAACACTCCAAAGCCCCTCTTACTGCGTGCAGATTAAGCACACTAAGGAGGGACTGTGGCTTGAGGAAAGATGTGACATGCAACCCCAAAGCACTTCACAGTCCCCACAGGTGAGGCAGGTATGAGAGAGCACCTAACAATGCCAAAGCAGCCCAGGCTTTAGACCTCAGGGGTTCCAGCTGTGCTGGTCCACGTGAGCATGCTGAGAATGGGAGGGAGCTGGGAGACTAGAGGTGCCCAAGTGGAAAACCCATTTTCCAAGAGTGAAAAAAGGTAGTTTTGGAAGCCCCATGTACCATAGTGATTGAGTCTGGGAGGGATGCTTATACTAGAGAAAGAGAAAATGGACACCAGGCAGGCGGTAGAATTCATGGTCTTGCAGGATTAAAGACAGACGTGCTCGCCAGGAGCCAGCATTCATTCGCCAAAACCATTTGTTCTTTTTTCTTTTCTTTTTTTTTTGCACTCTATCACCCAGGCTGAAGTGCAGTGGCACAATCATGGCTTACTGCAGCCTCCACTTCCCAGGCTCAGGAGATCCTCCTACCTCAGACTCCTAAGTAGCTGGGTCTAGAGTTGTGTACCACCATAGTAGAGACAGAGTTTCTCCATGTTGCCCAGGCTGGTCTCGAACTCCTGGGCTCAGACCATCTACCTGCCTCAGCCTCCCAAAGTGTTGGGATTACAGGCATGAGCCACTGTGCCTGGTTCATTCATTCTTAATGAGCTATTAGACTTATAGTATCTGTGTATATTGAGGCCAGAGGCTGAGTGTGTCTTGATTGGAAAGGTGCTGACATTCAGAGCCTCAGGCCTTTAGAACCTTGGTGATTCCATCACATCTTTATTTAACAGAAGAGCAGGAACCAGCCTAAGGTCCTTGTGGTGCCAGAGAGTCTCAGACTTTTCTTGAGAAGATGAGAGAGATAAAGAGGTATGTCTAAGATCATACAGTCCAACTGGATGACCTATGGCTTATTGAACAACAGCACTCAACTCTGAGAATTAGTTATTTACTCTCGAAGTAGAGGAGCTCTCTCATGACTAAAGGGTACTGTACTTAGCATTTTTCCCACAACTTAATAATAAATAAATTGGGTAATGTTACAGAAGGGAGGTCTGCTTTCCAGTCTGCAGATGACCCAAAGCTAATAGCCATTGTTTTGTCCACTTGTTTGTCCATCTATCCTTCTGTCTGTCTGTCTATCATCCATCCATCCATCCATCCATCCATTTCAGCTATGCTATCCCTCAAGAGACATTGGCTTTCTAATATGTGCCCCCTGTTCAAGACACTGGGGAATAGAGAAGCAAACAAAACAGATAAGGAATAGATAGTGTCATTACCCTCATGGAACTTACATTTTAGTTGGAGAAATAAAGAAACAACAAACAGCAAATAAATATGTTAGGAAGTAACATAATGCTTTAAAGAAAAGTAGAGCCAACTAAGATGAAGGGGAATGATGAGAGCAGTGTTTAGATCATGTGGCTCAGGGAACATCTCTCTGAATAGGGACTTGAGCAAGCCCAGCGGCTGTGTAGAGAAGAGCACCTGGACAGAGGAGTAGCAGGTGCCCAGGCCCCTAAAGGGAAGGCACTGGAATGTGAGAGGCCAGGCCAGTGCTGCTGGAGTGGAGTCAGGCCAGGTGACACAGGATTTATTCCAGGTGTGCTGGGAAGCCACTGGAGAGTTTGCAGGGTGGGAGGCTGTAACCCGACTCTGATGCAGAGGTCCAGTCTGACTGCTGTGTGGCAGGGAGTGAAAGCTGAGATACCAGTTTTTTGTTTTTTCCAAAAATGTTTTTAGTGTGGTAAAATATTGTACCAGCTTAGATATTTCCAGCATACAGTAGAGTGGTATTAGATACATTCACAGTGTTGTGTGGCCATCACCACCACCCTCTCCATAACTCTTTCATCCTGTGAAACTTGAGACACCAGTTTTGAGGCTGTTGCTGTGGTGCTGGGGGGAGAGGACAGTGCTCAGGGGATGGACCCACACAGGCGAGAAGTGGTTGGGTTGACAGAGCTGACAATTGAGGGGAAAGGGCATAAAAGAGGACCTCAGCACTTTGGAAAATCAAATTAGGAGGCAGGGATTCAGTGGGGAGCCCACCATGAGACAACCTAAAGGCTGGCAGTAGTAGCAGGAGGGGTTAGTCTGGCTTTGCATTGTATTTCTCCAGAGTGCAGGATTAGGGCAGTGGGTTGGACCTTGGAATACTGCAGGTGGGAGGTAGAAGAGCACCAGTGGTGCTGGAGCCTGCAGACTCTTGAGCCAGAGTGCCTTGGTCCGAGTGCCTGCCCCACCTCTCACAGTATGGCCTGAGACAGGCAACCTCTATGCTTCAGTTTCCCCATCTATTAAATGGACCTATTTTCTACTTCATAGGGCTGTGGTGAGGATTGAGTTAATTTAGTTAACTCAGTTCATTCAACTGACTCGGTCGTAAAGTGCTGAAAAGCACGTGTAACATGTAGTTACTGCTCAATACATAATTATTGTTACCTGGAGGTGGTCCCAAAATAATGCCCTGGATTATGATGCTTTCAAATGTCCTGGATATGATGTCCCAGATTATGGTGCTTTCAAAAGGGGCTTGGCTCCTCCTGAGACCACTATACTCCCACCATTGGACAGGCTCTGCACCTGCTGGGAGGCCGGGCAGGCTGTGGAGGGATATTCCCACTCTGCAAAGCGGGTGTAGCTGATGGCACCCAGAAGCCCCTGCTTTCAGCTCTCCACACTCTCTTCAGCTCCTTCTGTGATATGTCTTGCTCTTGATCCTTTTCGCTTTAAGAAAACTTTTCTTTGCCCTTTTACATCTTCTGCTGACATTTAAAACTCCTTCCCTTTGTTCTGACCTTATTGAATAGAGAGAATAATTTCTTGGAATTCTCTGTGTAATGAATGTTCATGTACTTAGAGATTCTGATTGAGTTTCTCCTCAACCTTTGCTTTGAGAGACTTTCATCATCTGGTGTAGAAAACACTTCAGGAAGCACTTAGGAAGATGGCGTCAAATGAAAATGCTGCCTTTGTTCTTGCTATTTCTACATATGTGAGCCCCTTGTAACCCAGATATGAGCTTGGGTACCCTGGCCTTAGAAATGCGAATGAAATTGGCTCAAACTTCCATACCGTGTATCCTAGAAACCCTGCAGTGTTTCCAGGTTCTCTGCAAATTTCTGTGAAGCTGGTGGTGGTGGTGGTCAGTGGCTCATCCACATAGCAAATATGCTGACCCCTCACTCTCCTAAACATTCCTACCAGAAGGCTGGCTGTGGGGAAGATTTTGACTGAAGTAATGGAATAATGGGGTATGTGTATGGCAGGTGCAAGGGTGGAGGTGAGGAGGTGGGGTGAAGTGTTACTCTCAATTACTGCAAAACAGATGCTTAAAGTTGAAAATGAGGTTTGGCTTCCAGTAATGAAGCGGTAGTTCTGCCAGACTAACCCTCCCACAGCTAATAACTTTAAACTCTACAATAGTAACAACAGCAGAACTACCTGAAGGTATTGGGGAGCAAAGAAAGCCGGCAGAGACTGGACAGAAGTCTGCCCTCAGAAGGAAATGGCACTGGATGAGTTTCTGACTGAATGGCTGAAAGTTTTCTAAATGTTTTTGTTTGTTTGCTTTTACTAAGCATAGGCTCCAGTCTGTGCCAGACAGGCTGCTAAAAATTTGGATAGAAAACCTGTAGTGTTACTGGCTTGAAGAACCAGAGCACAGAGTTTGGGATAACCACAGCAGCTGGAGAGTATCTATAAACTTTACCCAAATCTCTGAATGACTCCTGAACCTGCGCAGAGGGCAGACTCTAAGCAGCTCAGCTAAGGCAAAGAGAACTGAATAGACATTCTGCTGCTGCACACTGCAAGGGAAACGGAGTTTGAAATTTGAGTAGGGCCAGGTTAGCTGCCTGTTTTTTTTTTTTTTTTAATCGATATTCTTTAGAGGAGCATAAAAAAATTTAGAGATAAGATACATTTTGTAATGTTCAGTTTTCCACCCAAAATTCCTAGATAAAGCAAGAAACAGGAAAAGAGGGCCTATATTCAAGAGAAAGGCCCACAAAGGAGCTTATCCTCAAGATGATCCCAATGTTGAAATTAGCAGACAAGTGTTTTAAAACAGTTGTTACAGATGTGCTGAAGGATACCCAGGGGAATCTCAGGAGAGAAAAAGATACTGCAAGAAAAACAAGTGTTAAGTTCTAGGACTGAAAAAGACAGTATCTGAAACTAATAATTCACCACTTAGATTCCATAGCAGAGGGAGATGGCAGAGCTGGTGAACTTGGACATATATCAACAGAAATTATTCAGCCTTAAAACAGAGAAAAATTATGGAGGAGGAGAAGCGCAGATACTCAGAGAACTGTGGACAATATCAGAAGATCTATTATATAAATAATTGAGTTCCAGAAGCAGAGGAGAGTGAGAATGGGAAAGAAAAAAATATTTTGAATAAAATAATATTGGGAAATGCCCCAAATGTGGTGAGTTCCTTTTTTAAAAGAAAAAAGAAAATCCCAACCATGCAAATTGCAAACAGGACAAATACAAAGAAAA